CTCAGCTACACCTCAAGTCCAGGCTAGCCTGGGCTCCATGCTACCTTGTCTCAAAAAAAAAAGAAGTTAAACAGCCTGACCAAGATCACATAGCCAGTAGATGATGAAAATAATATTGTGGTTTTTGTTGTTATTCTTTTTTTATGTTGATGCTGTTGTATCTGGGGAGAGTGTGTGGGAGAGTATGTGCTTGGTATAATATCCTCACTTGGAAAAATAGTGCATGCCCATGAGCCCTCATTTAAAAAATATAGAAATGCCTAGCAACCCCTGCTTTGCTATACTTTCTGAGAAGAAATTGGAAGAGATGAACCGGCTCATCCTTTTATCTCATTCCTTCTCCAATAACAGGGGTAACAGGGGTGCTTCTTCTTCTTCTTCTTCTTCTTCTTCGTCTTCGTCTTCGTCTTCTCCTTCTCCTTCTCCTTCTCCTCCTCCTCCTCCTCCTCCTCCTCCTCCTCCTCCTCCTCCTTCTTCTTCAGGAAAAAAAATATTTTGAGTGCAGAATTGAGAAGAAACGCACTCTGGATGGGTAATCGTGTCACTCCAGTCTTCCTACCCACAGAGAAGAAAGCCTTCTCGAAGTTTAAGATGTCACCTTTCACAGAGCACACAAGCAGCCCGAGATCAGAAAATCGCACATAGCCAGATCACCAGAAAGAGCAGAGCAGCAAGACGCAGCTGGCTTTGAGATCTGCAAGAGGCCATTCCCGTCAAAGGACATCTTTGTTAAAATAGAAACATCAAGGGAATAAATATGAACAATCCTTGGGACAATTCTTTTGTAGCATGTACCTGAGGAGGTAAACGCTATTCTGGATGCTTCCTGTCCCTCGGATATTTCGATGCTGGACACCATTGAACTGAAATGAATCATTCTTAGAAGCAGTTGTCCTCTAGTTTAAGAATATCCCAGAAGAGTATGCAAGGGAGCCGGGTTTTTCTATTTATAAAACTTATCAGACCACTTATGCTGATGCTTATCAAAATGTAAGTTATGTTTACATTCAAATTTGGAATTTCAATTCAACCATTGACACAAATACATAAACATGTACGCATACAATTTTTTTTTATTCAATCAAGACGCTTCTTCCTTAGAGAGGCTCTTACAGCCTAGCCTACCCTAGCCTAGTCTCAAACTCACTGTGTAGCCAAGGATGACCTGGGATTCCTCATCTTCCTGCCTCCACTTCCCAGATAACTGAGATTACAAGTGTGCACCACCACACACAATTGCAACCAATATACTCAATAGCGGAACAAAGAGAGGAGTACAGAAGTGAGGTTAAGCAAAATGGAGGACAAGCAGTCACCCTTACATATCATCTTAGTTCCTCGTCTTGTTGCGGCTGCAAAAATGTCTAACAAAAGCAACTTAAGGATGGGAGGGTTTATTTGAACTTTTATTTTGAGGGTGCAATTTATCAAGGAAAAGGTCTCATGGCAGTGTAAATGTGAGCCAGCTGATCACATTAATCCAACACCAGGGAACAGAAAGGCAGGGATGCAGAGAGACAGAGATGCAGAGAGACAGGGATGCAGAGAGGCAGGGATGCAGAGAGACAGAGATGCAGAGATGCAGAGAGACAGGGATGCTGCATCTCAGACCACATTCTGTTTTTTTTAGGCAGCCCAGGACTCTCTTCCTGTGAAGCAGCCCAGGACCCCACCCCATGAAGCAACCCAGAACCCCAGCCCATGAGTCGGCCCAGGACCCCAGCTCATAAAAGGGTCCTAGACTCTAGGCCATAGAACTGTGCTACCCACGGTTAGACTAGATCTTTCCAGCCAATCTAGAACCCAATCTAGAAACCCCTTGCTGTCATGCCCATTGGTTTGGCTCCTAGATGAGTCTAGATTGTGTCGAGTTGACAATATAAACCACAATAAATGAAAAGTCCAGTTCCAAACCACATGGTTAGTACGAGCCATGCTTTTTCAGACTGTGTCTCAGTATGTCTCCCTACTGGGACTGGAACTGACTCTGTACATACCCACAGTATGGAAAGGCTGAGGTAAGGAACTAGGGAAGTGGCTTAAGACCACCTTCCAAGGTCTGATTCCAGGCACCCGAATGGCAGCTCACACTATTTGTAACTCTAGTCCCTGGGGATCTGATGCCCTTGACTAGCCTTTGTGGCACTATACACACACACACACACAAACACACGCACACACACACACACACACGGTGCACAGACATACATATAGGCAAAAACATCCATACATATTGTAATGGTTTGTATATGCTTGGGCCAGGGAATGGACACTATTAGGAGGTGTGGCCTATTGGAGTAAAACTGTGACTAGGTGTGACTTTTGTACCCTAGTACTAGCTGCCTTCAGATGAAGATGTAGAACTATCAGCTCTGCCTGCATCTTGCCTGCCTGGATGCTGCCTTGCTCCCACCTTGATGATGATGGACTGAACCTCTGAACCTGTAAGCCAGCCCCAGTTAAATATTGTCCTTTATAAGACTTGCCTTGGTCATGGTGTCTGTTCACATCAGTAAAACCCTAAGACATACATAATATAAATAATTAATAATAATAACTTTTAAGACTGAGACAGGAGGATTTCGAGTTTGAGGCTGGCCTGAGCTATATGTAAAGAGACGCTGCCTCAAAAGAAAGGGTGTTATAAAAGGCCCAAGTAGGTATTTCTCAAAAGAAGACACACAAATGTTCAGCCTGCATAACGAGGAAATGTTCACCATCACTAATTAGGTAGAGAAATAGCATTGAAACCACAAATGTGATACTACCTCACATGTATTGATATAGCTATTATCAAAAAGATAAAGTTAAGTATTCGTGGTGATTATTTTTAAGTTGGAGGAGCTTGTGAACTCGGTTGGTAATCGTGTGAGTAAGCATGGTCATTATAGAATATCTTGTGGAGGTTCCACACAAAAAAATTAAAATAGAATGACCATGGGACTGGAGAGAAGGCTCAGTCCTTAGGAGCGCTTAGTGTTCTTGAAGAGGAACCAGATTGGGTCCCCAGCATCCATTTCAGATGCTAATGACCACCTATAACCCCAGTCCAGGGGATCCAATGCCTCTTCTAGCACCCTTGAGCACCCGCACACACACAGTGAAGAGAAATTCACATAGGCATAAACATACACATAAATAAAAATAAATTTAAAAAAATACAGGGCCAGGGGCTAGAGAGATGGCTCAGCAGAGAAGAGCACTGACTGCTCTTCCAGAGGTCCTGGGTTTAATTCCCAGCATCCACATGGCAGCTCACAACTGTCTGTAACTCCCTCACATAGACATACAGACAAAACCCCAACAAAAATAAAATGTTAAAAAAAAAAGAGGGCTAGAGAGATGGCTCAGCAATTAAGAGTGTTAGCTATTATTCCAGAGGACGGCATTTTAACTACCAATAACCACATGGCTAACAACAACCTATAGCTTCAGTTCTAGGGGCTCCAAAGCCCTCTTCTGGCTTCCTCAGGCACCGTATACATGTGGTGTACATGCATAAATGTAATAGAAAACAGCCATATACATAAAATAAAACAAAATAAATTTTAAAAATGATAGATAAATAAAATCTTTTAAAAGTAATATCTATTTTATGCCTATGAGTGCTTTGCCTGTATGTGTGTCTTTTGTGCACTATGTGTGTGCTGTGCCCACAGAGGCCAGAAGAGGGTGTCAGGTCTCCCAGGACTGGAGTTATAGACAGTTGTAAACTATCATGTAGATGGTGGGAATCGAACCTGGGACCTCTGAAGAGCAGCCAGTGCTCCTAACTGTTGACCTATCTCTTCAGATCCTCAGGAAAAATTTTAATAGAATGACCAGAAATGATCCAGAAATTTCACTACCAAGAGAGATTCTAAAGGATAGAAAAGTAGTACATTGAAGAGATATGTGTATTGCTCTATTTGTTGCAGAATTATTCACAATATCCAAGATATGGAATCAATGTCAGGGTCCATCAAAAGACCACTGGAAGGCTGGCAAAGTGGTTCATAAGGTAAAGAAACATATAATAAATCTCCTTGAGGAACAAAGTAAACTAAATAAAGATCAGACATGCCTACATTGAAACTCTTTGTAAAGTACATGTGACATCATCCATAAAGATGGGTTCTATAGACTGACTGAGGAAAACGAGCCTTGGTAAAGGACTGGGGAAGGATCCCGTATGGTCTCGGCCACACAGATAGCACAAAGATCACCTGGATTACAGATTGTTCCTTACTTTAAGGGGGAAAACCCTGTGTACTAACATTCCAGGTTCTCCTAGTGCAGTGATTCTCAACCTTCCCAATACTGTGACCCCCATTAATTCCGTTCCTAATGTTGTGGTGACCCTCCCCCAAACTATAAAGTCATTTTCATTGCTACTTCATAACTGTAATGTTGCTAGTGTTATAAATCCTAATATAAATATCTGATACGCAGGATATCTGATATGCAAAACCTGTGAAAGGGTCTTTCAACACCCCCACCGAAGGGATCATGACCCACTGGCTGAGAATCACTGCCCTGGTGCTCACCTGGGAACACAAGGGCATCTGTACCTCCTACAGGGAAGGAGTGGCAGATGAATCACTGGAGGGCTGGAGAGATGGGTCAGTGGTTCACACCACTGGCTGCTCTTTCAGAGGACCTGGGATCAGTTCCCAGCACCTAGACTGAGGAGCTAACAACCACCTATAACTCCAGTCCAAGGATCCAATGTCATCTCTTGATCTACATAAAGAGTTTCAGACCAGCTAGAGTTACAAAGAAATATCCTGTCTAGATAGATAGATAGATAGATAGATAGATAGATAGATGGATGGATGGATGGATGGATAGATAGATAGATAGATAGATAGATAGATAGATAGATAGATAAAAAGAATGCTGTCAATAGATGACCTAAGAATATCTCTAAATTTCTAATGCATCACTGAAAATATTTTAATTCTCTTTCTAATTTAATTTTTTTTTTTTACTTATTCACTTTACATCCTACTCACTGCCCCAAAAATAGGAAACACCTCACGAAATTCCCTGCCATCCTTGAGCAGAAGCCATGCTAATCTTCTCTGTATTGTTCCAATTTTAGCATTTGTGCTGCCAAAGCAAGCACAGTATGTTAATTCATAAAAGTTAGGAATTTGCAGCTAGAGAGATGGCTCGATGGTTAAGAGCACGTGTTGCTTCTGTAGACAGCCAGGGTTCAATTACCAGCACCTTCATGGTGGCTCGCAACCATGCTTAACGCCAGCTTTAGGAGATCCTTCTTCTGAACCCATACAAATAAAATTAAATGAATGTAAATCTTTTCATAAATAAAAATGAGAAAATTATCATTTGAATTATGAGTTTTCCTGCTTAAACCCAACTGAGTAAGCCATATCTGTAGTTGTTTTGAAGAAAAGCTAAGTGTATTTATTTTTTTTTGTTTTGTTTTGTTTTGTTTTTCGAGACAGGGTTTCTCTGTGCAGCCCTGGCTGTCCTGGAACTCACTCTGTAGACCAGGCTGGCCTCGAACTCAGAAATCCACCTACCTCTGCCTCCCAAGTGCTGGAATTAAAGGTGTGAGCCACCACTGCCCGGTCAAGTGTATTTATTTAACTAACTCTCTCTTTCTCTGTGTGTGTGTGTGTGTGTGTGTGTGTGTGTGTGTGTGTCGGTCGGTGTCCTAGTTTGCCTTCTGTCGCTGTGATAAACTATGACCAAAAGCAGATTGAAAGAGTAACAAGTTTATTTGGCTTATATGTCTGAATCTTCCTTTTATTTTTTTTTTATTTTTATTTATGTGTGTTAATTTTTTTTCATTTTTATTTACCTGTGTGTCTGAGTGCAGCTGTCATGGCTGTTGAGAGCTGCAGGCTCCTATTAACCACTGAGCCATCTCTCTAGCCTCCTGGGGGGTCTCTTCAAAGCCAGGATCACCACTGATGTCAACACTGGTTTCAACTGGGTAGACACCGTTACACTTCCCAAAGATCCAAAAACAAAGAGCAGACAAGGGACTGAGGGGTATAATGTCCTGTGGTGGTATTCCCAACACTTGGAAGTGAAAACAGAAGGATCCAGAGTTCAAGGTCAGCCTCAGCTCCATTGAAAGTTCAAGGTCACCCTGAGCTAGAGACTGACTCCAAAAATAAAGGAAATAAATGGAGCAAAGACTTACTGACTCTAAAGAAGAACAGAAGCCCTGAGAAAGAAGCACATGGATCCTACGTGATCTTGAATCAGAGCCCCCACCACTGAGTCTATCTTACTATGTAATTTCTTTTTGCATAAACAAAGAAGAGACCTCTGTAAGTCTTTGGCACCCTCTTTTGGACAACCTGATTATTTCAAAACTGAAATGTTTCGTTTCTGAGTAATGTTGTCAGCAAATTGAACTTGGGTACACGGAGACAGATCTATAGAGATGACATAGATATAGACTGAGGGTGATTATTGACCTTATTCTTACAAGAGTTTTAGACCTGCAGAAAGATGAAACAGTACAAAGCCCCATTTATACCTCTCCCTTGTGTAATTTCCCCTACTGCTAACACTTGCACTGAGGACCTAAGTGTTAATGATAATGAAACAATGTTAACCCGTTATTATTGGCTGATGTTTATAGTACGTATAGCATAAGTTGCATGCATCCATAGGTTGTGAAGAATTTCATGTATCCACCATTATAGTACTATAGAGAATAGTTTCACTGCCTTAGAAATCACCTCTTTTCGGTTGGCTCAGCCAGTAAAAGGCACTTACCATGCAAGCCTGGGGTCCCCAGAACCCACATAAAGGTAGAAGAAGAGAACAGACCCACAAAATTGTCCTCAGAAAGACACATGTGCTTCATGGCATATGTGTGCCACACATACACACATATGCATTTTCACACAATAATAATAATAAATTTTTTAAATGTTTAGTCGCCTGTTTCATCCCTTGACTCTATCTCTCCAGAGTCTGGTAATCACCACTTTTTACTTACTATCTTTTAATGTTGCCTTTCAAATTTTTACATTGTGGAATAGCAAAATACAACTCTGTTAAATTTATTTCGCTTACACATCCACTTAAGAGACCTTCATATCTTACTATAAATGGCCAATACACATATTGGGGGGGGAGTTTACTCTAAAAAGTAGTCACGGTACTGCATGCCTTTACTCCCAGCACTCAGGAGGCAGAGGCAGGAGGATCTCTGTGAGTTCAAGGCTAGTCTGGTATTGGGGGAAAAAAAACAGAAGAGGAGGAGGAAGGAGGAGGAGGAGAAGGAGGAGGAGGAAAGGAAGAGAAGAAAAGGGGAAGTGGGAGGGAGGAGGAGAAAGAAGAAGAGGAAGAGGAGGAGAAAGCAGAAAAGGAAGAAGAGGATGGGGAGGAGAAGGAAGAAGAGGAAAAGGAGGAGAAGGAGGAGGAGGAGAAGGAAGAGGAGGAAGAGAAGGAGGAGGAGGAGGAGGAGGAGGAGGAGGAGGAGGAGGAGGAGGAAAGAAAGAAGAAAGTTCAACAGCCAATAGAAAAATGCAAACTGAAACTACATTGAAATTCCATCTCAACTCAATCAGAATGACAATCGTCAAGAAAACAAATAACAAAAAAGACCCTTAGACATGGCTGGTGGCAGCTAAAGTAAATCAACCCCCACAAAGCCAATATGGAGATTCCTCAGATAGCTAAATAAAGTCCTGTGATCCAGTCACAGCACTCCTGGGAATATAACTTAAGGACTCTAAGTCAGCACATCACAGGGACACCGGCACCTGGCTGTTTACCACGGCACTACTCACAACATCTAAGTGAGGGAGACAAGAGAGGTGTCTGTCAAGAGAGGGCTGAGCAGAAAGAACATGGTGGACAAGGTGAAGATGGTATGTACACACACACACACACAATGGAATTTTACTTCTCCATGAAGAAGAATGGAATGATTTCATTTGCAGGAAAACAGATTCAAATGGTGATATCACACCCATCAACTAAGTCAGTCTAAGAAACAGCATTGCATGTTTTCTCTTATTTTGTGGATCCTTGTTTTTTTATAGATACATAAAATTGTGAATTTGTATGTGTGTATACATGTATGAATGCACTCACCCATGCATGCATATGCAGAGAACACAAGCCAATATTGAGTCTCTTCTTCTTCTTCTTCTTCTTCTTCTTCTTCTTCTTCTTCTCCTCCTCCTCCTCCTCCTCCTCCTCCTCCGCCTCCGCCTCCGCATCCTCCTCCTCCTCCTTCTCCTTCTTTTTGAGACAGGATCTCTCACTGAATCTCATAGACCAGCTGGCCAGTGAACCCCAGAACCTGACTCTGTCCCTAATGCCACTAGTTGCTTGATCCACACTTGGTCTTTACATGAGTGTTGGGCATCTGAACTCGGGTCCTGATGCTTACGCAACAAGCGTTTTATCCACTGAGCCATCTGCCCAGGGTCATCTCTGTTCTACTACTATCCCATTGTGTGGATATACAGAAGTTTATTGATCTATATTCCTTGTTGAAAAAACATCTTAGTTGCCTCCAGATCGGAGCAATTATGATTAACGCTGCTATAAACACTTGTGTGAGGGTGTTTTGTGGACATAAATTTTCAATTAATTTGGATAATCAGGAGTGTGATTTCTCCGCCATACAGGAATACCATATTCATCTTCATAAGAAACTGCCTGTCCTAGTTTGCTTTCTGTTGCTGTGATAAAACACTGACCAAACCAACTTGAGGAAGGAAAGATTTTATTTGTTTTACATTTCCACATTACAGCCCATCACTGAGTGCAGTCAACGTAGGAACTCAAACGGGAGCCTAGAAGCACAAACTGAAGCAGAGAAAGACCGTGGAGGAATGTTGCTTAGTGACTTGTTCCCCTGTCCCGCCCTCTACCTTCCCTACGCAGCTCAGGACCATCTGCCTAGGGTTGGCACCGCCCACAGTGGGCTGAGCCTTCCCATATCAATTAACAATCAAGAAAATGCCTTGAAGACAAGTGCACAGGCCAATCTGAAGGCGGCGTTTTCTCAGTCGTGGTTCCTTCTTCCTAAGTATAACAAGTTGACAACCAAGATTAACCATCACACTGCCAAACCAATGGCAGCCTCTGCCATTTTTTTGTGTCCACCTGCAATGAATGGAAGGCTTTGTGACATCCCCACCACCGTTTACTCTCCTGAGATTCTGGCCATTCTGAGACATGCATATTGGTAACTCTCTGTCTTAATTTATAATTCCCCAATGCCTCTTGCTCTGTCTGTTTTTGTAGGCTCACTGCCGTCTGAACATCTATGTGGTGTCTGTCCAGTTCTTGGCCCATCCTTTTTAACTGAGCTGTTTCTTATATTTGAATTTTCTGCTTATTCAGAAGCAAGTCCTTTCTTGGGTCTGCATGTTACAAATATTTCCTCTCAATGTGTGGCTTCTCTTAGTCTTTTATATATTTTTACATTTATTTATTGGGGAGTAGGCACACACATGCACGGAGTGGGTGTGGAGTTCAGAAGACAACTTACAGCAGTCAGTTCTCTCCTTCACCATATGGGACCAGGGATCAAACTCAGGTCATTAGGCTTGGTGTCAAGCCCCTCTACCCACGAAGCTATCTTGTCAGCCCACAGCCCTTTTTCATTCTCTTAAGAATGTTTCTTTAAGCCGGGCGGTGGTGGCACACGCCTTTAGTCCCAGCACTCGGGAGGCAGAGGCAGGCGGATTTCTGAGTTCGAGGCAAGCCTGGTCTACAGAGTGAGTTCCAGGACAGCCAGGGCTATACAGAGAAACCCTGTCTCGAAAAAAAAAAGAAGAAGAATGTTTCTTTAAAAAAGAGAGAATTAAACAAGTCCAATTCCTTCTGAGGACTATATTTCTAAAGTTGTATTTAAAGCCTAGGTGTCAAACCCAAGCTCTCCATGTAGTCTTTTAGAAGGTTTATAGTTTTTAGGTTTTACATTTAAGTCCATTACTCAGTTTAATTTCTGTTACAGGGGGCCAGAGAGATGGATCAGCCGTTAGGAGCATGTATTGCTCCTCCAGAGACCCAAGTTTGATTCCCAACACCTATATTGGATGACTTACAACACCTATAACTTCAACTCCAGAGGACCTGATGTCCTCTTCTAGACTGTACAAACACATACACACA